ACCCAGCGACGGTTGCCCCTCCTTGCTCCTCAGGAACAACCCCGCCATCCGCCTCACTCCACCTCACCACACCTCACCTCACCTCACATCGACCTTTTGGTGCTTCCACTCCCGCTTCCCATCTCCGTCCACCCTTCACTATCCACTACACCATCCATCCACTTCCGCTTCATCACCCAATCCTTGTCCTACCTTGTTCCAGGGTAGCCTTTCAGTCCTGATCGCTTCGCGACCCTCCCTCTTTAACCCCCCCGGTCTGGCCCGTGCCGCTCCTTGATACTAACTTCACGAACTCACCCGCCCACCCCTCCTCATTAGCACAGCTCTTTTGGCCTCTGCTTCTTGCTCCTTGCTTTTGCTTGCCCTCGTATTTCCCGCCACTGCAACAGCGTACCATCTTCTTCCTTTCCCGCCAGTCATCAGCAAGCCTGCAGCAATGGTTGACCGCCCCAACAAGCCCACGGCTCTGGCCACCACTCCCGGCCTTCCGCCCCAGGCCCAAGTCACCACGTCCGACGACAACTCGCGCGTTGGTGCCGTCCTCCCCACCGGGCGAATCCATCTCCGTTCTGCTCTACGGAGCCACTGTGCTGAGCTGGAAAGACGCTGCTGGCAATGACCGCCTGTGGCTGTCCGAGGCCGCCGCTCTCGACGGTTCCAAAGCCCGTCCCGCGGTGGTATCCCCCTTGTCTTTCCCGTCTTCGGCCAAGGCCCCCGACCCACGAGGCCACCAAGAACCTGCCACAGCACGGCTTTGCTCGCTCCTCGCGCTGGGAGTTCCTCGGCAAGTCATCCGAGGAGAGCGGCACCAACTACAGCGTCAAGCTAGACTTTGGCCTGTCCTCTTCGAGTCTTGACGAGAAGACCAAGGCTGCATGGGGATACAGCTTCGGTGCCATCTACAGCGTGACTCTGGACCGCGATGCCCTGGCCACATCGCTCGTCATCACCAACGAAGACGACAAACCATTCGAGCTCCAAGTCCTTCTGCACACCTACCTGCGCGTTCCCGTAAGCTCGCCCCCCCCTACTGCTCCACATGACACTCCATGGCCGTCATCACTCACTAACAACTCTGCACAGGATGTGACTGCCGTCCGCCTCTCCAGCCTTGATGGCGCCTCATATCTCGACAAGACCGAATCCCTTGCCACGAAGACCCAGTCGGGCGACCTCGCCTTCACTGGCGAAACAGACCGTATCTACACTCCTCTTGGCGGGCCCAAGGTTCCTGTTGTGGTTTCCGATAATGCGTCGGGCCGCAAGCTCTACAGCTTGACCCGCGACAACCTGGACGATGTCGTTGTCTGGAACCCCTGGGAAGCCAAGGCCAAGTCCATGCCCGACTTTTCTCCCGATGATGGTTGGCGTAACATGGTCTGTGTGGAAGCCGGTGCCGTCAAGGGCTGGCAGAAGCTTGAAGCTGGTGACGCCTTCGAGGCTGCGCAGGTCATCGCGGTGGGAGACTTGTGAATCGCGGGAAAGCTGTAGGCCGAGGGAAGCTGAGAAACCGAGGAAGTCAGAGCACGGTGACTATGATGACTGGAAGGTGGAGACTGCAAGCAGGCCGGTAGCAAGCGTGTCTCCTTTGTCATGCCTGGCGTCGAGGTGGGAGGATCCTAGAACTGCACAAACCCAAACGACGATGTTTCAAACCCCTTGCTGGCACACTTGTCATCACTCAGAGGATTTTTGTGAAGCATTGGATGTGATCACGACTTTCTTCTGTCTCGTCCTCGCTTCTCTCGATATCCTGATGCCGAACAGGCCTGCTCACCATCTACACAAACTTGGTATCTAAGGTATACAATGCTGCCCTTGGAGTGATTCTTAGGTTTGGGCGGCGGACCATCTCCCCCAACCTGCCCTTGGTATGTATGCCCCCCTACCGTTTCGTCACCATGTACAATTATGAAGTGTTTTTCTCTCCTCTCAGGCGAACACGTGAAGGAGAATGAAAGAGGAGAATGGAGAAGAAAAAAAAAAGAGTAACCTCTGCTGAACCCTCGCCCGAGCTCAGATGCCGCCGCCGCCGTCGCCTGTACGCCGAAAAGCAAAATGCGAAGTGCCTCCCATGTTTCCCTGTTCATGGTCCTTGCGTGTTGTTACTAGTGTTGTTGGTATGTTTTTGGTCTTCGGTCCATCTCCTCGTGGTGCGATGAAGACTAGATTGGCCAAAAGGAAAAAGGTGCAGAGCATATCATGCCCTTCCCCTCTTCTCGGCGGCAAAGAGTTCCCTCTTGATATCCATGAGGACGTCCTCCATCTTGTAGACCTCGTCTCGCGAGAGCGTGGCCGACTTGAGCTGCGCCAGTACGCCGGACAGCGAGTCGAGCATGGTGGGCTTCTGACTCTCGTCCATGTCCTGCTCCTCGTTCTCCTCGACGGTCGGTATAGCGACGGACTGCGAAGCGCGAGGCGTGACGTCGTGACTGAGGTCCATCGAAGCCTCCCGCGACACCGACGTCGAGAGAGCAACGGCCTCCTCGACAGCGAGCGACTGGCTGCGGCTGGCGGCAATCTGTTCGGCCGCGAGCTGCGACTCGAGCTCCGTGTCCGTGTCCTTTTCGTCGCTGGAGATCCTGCGGCTGCGGCGCCGGGGCGTGACCGAGGCCTTGCGGGCGCGCGTCTCCTTGGCAGGCGTCGAGGGGTGTCCCGGCGAGGACGGGCCTTCCGCGTCGCCGGCGTGGCTGTCGGAGCAGAACGACGAGGCCGCCGAGCGATCCGTGAGGACCGACGTCTGACGGCTGCGGAGGCCCTCCTGGCTCGGCTTCGCCTTCTTGCTGGTCGATTCCTCCCTCGCGGCCGCGGACCTCTTGCGCTTCTTCTTCTTGCTGCAGGTTTCACTCGCTGAGGACGGCGCGGACATTTCCACGACGCTCTGCGAACGACCTGGCGAGCGGGACTTGGACTTTGATTTGCGGCGGGGCTTCTCCTGCGCCTCGTCTTCCTCGTCTTCACCATCCTCGGGCGCGACGACCGTGATGCAGTCCAAGACCTCCTTAACGTCCTCGTGCTTAGACGGAAACTCGGCCGGGTGACGGTTGATGGGCAGCTTGCAACGGCGCGAGTCCAGCTCAACGACGAGCCGCAGCATGCTGTTCTCGTCGCCATCGCTCATGATGAAGGAGCCGTCCTTTTCCGCGTCAGCTTGGCGCTCGAGCGCCTTCTTCGCCGAGCGGGTCAGGGGTTGCTGGGGACTCGTCAACGCATCGACAAAAGACGTCAGGCTTCGTCGGATTTGGCATCATCGACGTCATCTCGGGCTCGGGGCGTCGACGGGCTCGTCGTCATCATCTTCGGCCTCGTCTTCGTCAATGACCACCACTTCCTTCCTTGTGTGTTGGTAGTCTTGCCTCTGAAGCGACACTGGATGGAACGACTTCCCATTCTGGAAGGAATCGTCAATGACCATTTCCGACCCGTGCGTGTCGAGACTTGATGGTTGTGGTTTTCTTCGCAGTAATATCGAGAATAGGGATCTCGTTGGCTGCGGCGTGCTCTTTTTCTGACAACTGGAGATCCATTC